TTGCAAGTCTTGCCGTTGACCAATCCCCTGAGGGTGGCGGAGGAAGCGGCGACTGTCGACCACATCAGCAGGGGACGCTTCGAATTCGGCATCGGACGCAGTGGCCTGACCAAGTATTACCAAGGCTACAACATACCGTACTCCGAAAGCCGCGGCAGATTTTTCGAAGCGCTCCAGGTGATCATGACCGCCTGGAAAGGAGACAACTTCTCCTACCAGGGCGACTTCTATTCTTACGACGACGTGCAGGTGGTTCCCCAGCCTTTCCAGCAGCCATATCCGCCGACACGCATCGCCGTGGCCTCGGCAGACACGTTCCCCCTCGTTGGCAAGTTGGGCCATCCCATCTTCATCAGCGCCGCGGCGGGCATTCCGGCCCTCAAGGAACGGCTTGAGCTTTACCGCACTGCCCGGAAAGAAGCCGGTTGGGATGGACCAGGCGAGGTAACCCTCCGCATCCCCGCGTACGTGTCGGATACCACCGCCAAAGCCCAAGAGGAACCGAAGGACAGCGCCATCCATGCCATCCAGTATGCCGCCACGGAACTCATCAAGACCGCGGCCAGCGAGGAAGGAGTGGAACGGCTGAGGCAAACGGCAAATATCCCGTACGAGGAGATTCTGCAACGGCGGGTTATGTTTGGCACACCCCGGGAAGTGACCGAAAGGCTGGAAGAATATCGGGAAGAACTGGACATTACCGGCGTGGTGCTGGAGACCAACTACGGCGGCCAGATACCCAACGACCGCGTGATGGCTTCGGTGCGTATGCTGACCGAGAAGGTAGTCCCCGGTTTCAAGTAACCCCTCGCGGGACGGCTCGCGCGCCACCACCGCGGGCGTCGGTGTCGATATGCTGCGCGCTGCTGCATAGCGGCCGTCGCCAACGATCGATCGTAGTGGCACCTGACGACAGCCAAGAACTTGTGTGGTGTGTCGCAGAGACTGCCGGCAAGCCAAATCATCAGTGCGAATTGTGGATTCACGGACCAGGCAGAACTGTACAAAGCGCACCGTACCGCCGCCATGCCCCCTCCCGGTGGTTGTGTTCCTATATTCCGTGTCAACGTCTGAAACTGGAAAGACCCCTGACGATTCCGGGGTCTCTCTTTTCGGTTGAGCGCCACCAAGGCGCTGCACCCCGCCTTGAGGTTTGGGGCGATATCTTTTCTCGCCGACCGGACCGGTATCGACGGTTACGTGTGTGTCCTAACTCCGTCGAATTGTTGGCCCCGGGAACCTGAGTCTGCTCCAAACAACCAGGCTACTGCAGCTTCCCTACATCATACAATCGGAATTTATACTATGGCGAATCGTTATAATTGTGGTAAAATGCCGATAATTGGCAATGATTAGATCGTTGTCGAAGTAACTTTCTGTCCGATAGTCAATTTACGGCCTGATCGGTCGCAAGTTTGAAGATACCAATTAGGCATAGACCAGCGCACTGCATGCGTAAACGGGAGGTAGTTTCCAGGCCCGGAAATTCGCCACTGCATCGAATAGCCACTGCCGAAATGCGTAATTCGAGTGGTGTATCTACTTCCAAAGGTTCTACGTGTCCGATTTCGTAAAACGATCTGAGGCGCTCCCTGCGGAAACGAATCGGGTCATATCCCGACCCACCCTGAACACATCGAGTCCCGGAGAACGCAGGTTCCGGAGTGCTGAACAGCCACGATAGCGATGTGCATCGTCCAATACGTGAAGATATTCCCAAGGCGCCGCCCCAAGACGTGACCCGTTTCTCAGTCTTCGTTGGCGCCGAATACGATAAGAAAGCAAAAGGAATAGAGATGCAGCGTTTTATTATTGTTCGCGTATTCCATTCAATGATTGCCCTCGTGGCGATCAGCATTATCGTTTTTAGCCTGGCCCGTATCACCGGTAACCCCCTGGACGTACTGCTTCCGATTGAAGCTACCCAGGAAGACTTTGATCGGGTTGAAAGAGTCTGGGGGCTGGATAAGCCTCTTCCCTTACAATACTTCAAGTACGTTAACAACATCATGCACGGAAACTTTGGCAATTCCTTCAAATGGCAGGACAAAACCGCTTGGGAATTAGTAACTAGCCGGTTCCCGGCTACCCTCCAGTTGGTAGGCTGAGCTCGTGATTGAGCGTGGTCATCGCAGACAATCGCGTCGTGATGCGGCGGTTGAAGAAAGACTCCCCGATCGACTACGCCGGTAAACTGATAGCTTTGCTGGGCCAGTCCCTGCCGTCTTTTTGGCTGGGAATCGTCTTGATGTGGATTTTCGCCGTCCAACTGGACCTGCTCCCCACATCAGGCAAGGGTGGATAAGCAAAGATCTTCCCGTCCGGTGCCCTCCTCGGATGACCAGGTCGCGCAATCATGAGGCTGACCCGTTCTTCGCTGCTGGAAGTTTTGGATACCGAATTCGTGAAACTGGCCCGCATCAAAGGTCTGTCTGAGAGGAAAGTAATCTGGAAGCACTGCTTGCGCAACGCCCTCATTACTCCGCTCACCTACTTTGGACTCATCCTGGGAAGTTTCCTCACCGGTTCGGTAGTCACCGAAACCGTATTCGCATGGCCCGGGGTCGGATTACTGGCGATTGACGCCGTTAGGGCTCGCGATTTTCAGGTTGTACAGACGGTCGTGCTTTTCTTCGCAACCATTTACATCTTCGCCAACCTGGCGGTGGATATCATGTACGCCTATCTGGACCCTCGCATCAGGTATGACTGATCAGCGCGGTCTATTTACTCAGCCGCATTGGCCAATCTACCGAGTTGACCTGCATTTAAACCATAGATTCCACAATTAATCATTCACACCGAAAGTATCAGCGCACTGCGACTCAGGGATATCGCCGAGTTGAAAGCGCAGTGCGATACCTCCACCACTAATACAGGAAAAAGTAGGCAGAAACTATGGCAGGCATAGCGCTACCCCAGCGAATCCCGGGACTAAAAGCTCTGGCCGGCTGGCGAGCTGTTGTTAAAGATCAACGATTGCCAGTCATACCCGTTGCAATATTGTTGATCGTGCTGGTAATTCCAGCCATTTTCGCCAACCAGGTGGCGCCCCACGATCCGCTGAAAGGCAGCTTACCGAACCGCTTGCGTCCGCCGGTCTGGACAAATCCGGTGGTGGTAGACGGAGTGGAGGTTAAGGCGGGCGGGACCTGGCAACACATCCTGGGCACCGACAAGCAGGGCCGGGATATGCTGAGCCGCATCATTCACGGGGCTCGCGTCTCATTGACCGTTTCGCTGATCGCCGTTTTCATCGCCGGATTCATCGGCACTGTCCTTGGGTTGATGGCGGGATTTTTTGGCGGATGGATCGATCACCTGGTTATGAGGGTGGTGGACATCGGGCTTTCCATACCGGCCATTCTTTTGGCCCTGGTGTTGGTGTCAGCCATTGGCGCCAGCTTTGGCACGGTCATTGTGGTAATTGGCGGTGTTTTCTGGTCCCGTTACGCCCGCATGGTGCGAGGCGACACTCTGAGCATTAAAGGTCAGGATTTTGTCGCCCGGTCACGGGTCGCCGGAGCATCCAACAGCCGCATAATGGGCCGCCACATTTTTCCCAACGTCCTGAATACCATAATTGTCCCTTGGCACCCTGGAAATCGGCCAGGTGATCCTGCTGGAAGCCACCCTGAGTTTCCTGGGAGCCGGCATCCCCAAGCCTACCCCGGCGTGGGGGTTGATGGTCTCTGACGGTAGAGAATTGATCACTGACGCCTGGTGGGTGGCTATGTTCCCCGGCGTCGCTATTTTGCTAACAGTATTGTCGTTGAACCTTTTCGGCGACTGGGTGCGTGATCGCCTGGACCCGAAACTGCGCAATGTATAACCCACGAGACGGCTATCTGGATCTACTTTCACGCTCACTGGAGCCAACGGCCTGCAACTGCTTTCGCGATGTTGCCTCGATCAACTACGACGACATTACCACCGATTCCAGGTAGTAACTTCCCCCTCATTGCATTTAGGAGGTCAAATATACATCTGACGGATCAAGATTTACACCGGAGGAATCAAACGTGCTTTATCGGTTCAAACAAACCAAAGTATTATTATTCGGATCCCTGCTGCTCATCATGGCATTCGCAATTTCCTGCGGCGGAGCGGCTGAGGAATCTACTGACCCCCAGGAGCCCGCGGTTGCCAGCACCACTGAAACCGCCACGACTGGCGAATCTAGTGCACCGATCGCCACGGCCGTCCCTCAATCTACCCAGGATAGCGCGCATTAGCCGAGCCCACCGTGGGCCGCCTCAGGATAGCGTTCACAGTTCCGCCCCAGGAAACCAACCTCCCCTGGATCGGTCCCCGAAGCCTGCTCACCCAACTGAGCCCCATGGTAGAGACGCTCCTCGACATCGACCCCGACACCGGCGAATTCATGCCGATGTTGGCCACGCGCTGGGAAATGGCGCCAGATGGCAAGAGTTGGACTATGGACTTGCGGGAAGGGGTGACATTCCACTCCGAGTTTGGCGAATTCGATGCCCAGGACGTGGCGCACATGAGATTCCTCATGGGCCCCCAGGAAGGAAACCTCAACAGCTTCCGCAACACTTGGGCCACCACGGTGAATAACGTAGAAATCGTGGACGACCATAGGGTTGTCTTCCAGCTGGATAAACCAGACCCTGGCCTGGATTTCTTCCTGTCACTGAGCGGAGACCTGGTCATGCTGAGCAAGAATCAGTGGGACCAGGAAGGCCAGGATGGCCTCGAGCAGCGCCTGATCGGCACCGGCCCTTACGAATACCTGGAACGAGAGGTGGGCCAGTCTATTTCCTTTAGCCGGGTTCCTTATGAACACTGGCGGGTGCCCAACGCCGACTTCCAGGAGTTGGAGTTGGTATGGGCCCCCGAGTCGGCGACACGCCTGGCGATGCTGCTGACCGGAGAAGCTCACATGGCCGAACTGCCCCGGGACGTGCTGGCCCAAGCGGTGTCAGAGGGCATGGGTATCTCCCAGAGCGGTCTGGGCGCCATACTCACCTGGCTCGTAATGGGCGGCCAGTATTACACAACTGGCGATGAGGCCTACGATGCCACAGTGCCTTACGCCCAGCCCGGCGAGAACGGTCGCCTGGTGCGTAAAGCCATGAACAAAGCCATCAGCCGGGACCAGATTAACGAATTCATCTTCAGGCATGGCGGGACAACCATGCTGGTGCATGGCTACCACCACACTCTGCCCGGCTGGAACCCGGAATGGGAAGATCGGTGGGAAGAGGAATACGGCTACGATCCCGAGGCAGCGAAAGATTTGCTGGAGCAAGCCGGATACCCCGACGGTTTCAAGTTGAAGATGTACGGAGCCCACACTCTGCCAGGGGTGCCGGAACTGCCTGACATCGCTGAAGCAGTGAGCATCTTCTGGACCGAGATCGGAATCGACGTCGAAATCGTGAGCCTGGAGTTCTCGGCGGTCCGTCCTCAATACCGGACCAAGCAAATCCAGGGCTTCATCTTTCCAATGAGGACCGTGCGCCGACCTCTTCAGGAACAGATCCGCCTTTTCAATCTCCCTGATGGAGTGGTCCACCATTACGAATCTGACTCCGTCGTCGAGACATGGAATGAGCTGTCGTTGACCCTGGACCCAGCGGAACGAGACCGCCTGATCCGGGAGATTGGAAACGAGAAGTTTGACAATCATGAGACCATACCCCTGCTCTGGATATTTTTCCAGGTTGCGATCAACCCGGATGTAATAGCCGAGTACAAGTTTCCCCGGAACGGCCGCCAGCAACTTTAGCCACTTGGAAACAATCAAGGCCATTCGTTAACAAACACAAACAAGCCACAAATTAAAAGACAGCTAACTAATTCAACGTGAAGGCTGCGCATCCGAGGCACGAGTCTTCGGAAAGTAAATAGCCTTCGACAAACGGGAAACAGGCCGGGGAGGGATGATCAGTCAGGACGATCCTTCCCCGGCCTGTCTCATTTCACACAGCAAAGCAAGGAGGCCAGATTATCATGCTCCCCGGGTTCAATAGGTCCGAGGGTTAGTGACCCACTCATTTTTTGATGGTCGTGTAGTTGATAGCGGGTTGTCGCCCCGCGGCGCAGCCACCGGCTTCCGACACGGCGGTAACAGGCGCTGGGCGAGCATTGGCTCACCACAAGTACAGGGCCGTCAAATTGACACCAGGCAGGTCAAATTTCGAGAAGGAGGAATTAATCGTGCATTACCGGTTCAAAAAAACCAACGTATTATTGTTCACGCCACTACTCCTGATCCTGGCATTTGGTTATCGCCTGTGGGTCGTCGGCTCCTGAACCCGAAAACACACAGCAACCTGTGGTTGCCGATACTCCGGGCGCAACCACACCCGGAGATACTGGCGCCTCGGTTGCCACAGCAGTCCCTGCATCAACGCCCGAAGAATCTGGTATAACCGTGCCCCAGGTGGACCGTTTGAGGATAGCCTTCACTGCTCCTCCCCAGGAAACCAACCTTCCCTGGATCAGTTCCCGAAGCCTGTTGACCCAACTGAGCCCCATGTACGAGACGCTCCTCGACATCGACCCCGATACCGGTGCGTACGTGCCGATGTTGGCAACGCGGTGGGAAATGGCGACTGACGGTAGGAGCTGGACGCTGGACTTGAGGGAAGACGTTATTTTCCATTTTGGCTTTGGCGAATTCGATTCCAAGGACGTGCTCCACACTCGGAACCTCATGGGGCCCCCTGAGGGAAACCTCAACACATTCCGCGATACCTGGGCCACCAAAGTAGTAGATGTGGAACTGGTAGATGACCATCGCGTGGTCTTCCCGGCTGGGGGAGACAGACCCAAATATGGATTTCTTCCTTTCTCCCAGCGGGGATCTGGCGATTCTCAGCAAGGACCAGTGGGATCAGGAAGGCCAGGAAGGTATGGAGCAACGGTTCGTGAGTACCGGCCCGTATCAGTACCTGGAGCGCGAAGTAGGACAATCCATATCCTACGAACGCGTGCCCTACGAACACTGGCGCGTGCCCAATGCAGACTTCCGGGAGATGGAGCAGGTATGGGCGCCTGAGTCGGCAACACGCCTGGCAATGCTGTTGACCGGAGAGGCCCACATGACCGAACTACCGCGTGATGTGCTGGCCCAGGCCGTTTCAGAGGGTATGGAAATCTCCCAGAGTGGTCTGGGAGCAATAATGACCTGGATCGTCATGGGAGGCCAATACTACGTAACCGGCGACGAGGCCTATGACCCGACAGTACCTTATGCGCTTCCCGGCGAGCCGGGCCGCCTCGTGCGGAAAGCCCTGAACAAAGCCATCAGTCGCGACCAGATCAACGAATTCATCTTCAAGCAAGGTGGGACCCCGATGTTGGTACACGGCTTTCATCCCACCCTTCCGGGCTGGAACCCGGAATGGGAAGAGCGGTGGGAGGAAGAGTACGGCTATGATCCCGAAGCAGCCAGGGATTTATTGGAACAAGCCGGATTCCCCAACGGTTTCACTTTAAAGATGTATGGGTCCCACACTCTGCCAGGGGTGCCGGAACTGCCTGACATCGCAGACGCGGTGAGCATCTTCTGGACCGAAATCGGAATAGATGTCGAAATAATCAGCCTGGAATTCTCGGCGGTCAGACCCCAATATCGAACCAAGCAATTCCAGGGCTTCACCGCCCCGTTCAGGACCGTGCGCCGACCTCTGCAGGAACAGATCCGCATCGTCAATGCCTATGAAGCCGGCGTGCTTCACCAATACGAATCCGATACCCTCGAGGCGAACTGGCAACAGCTTACTCTTACCCTGGACCCAGTTGAAAGAGACCGCTTGATACGGGAAATCGGAAACGAGAAGTTCGACCAATTCGAAGCCGTTCCGCTCCTCTGGATATATTTCCAGGTGGCAATAAACCCGGACGTGGTGGCCGAGTACAAAGTACCCCGGCACGGCGGCCAGCAACTTCAGCCACCTTGAGACCATCAAGGCCGCCCGATAATCAACTTATTGCAACTCATTGGAAAACGAGTGAACTCAACGTCAAGGTCTGATGCAAATCAGAAACGCAGTTCTTCGAAATGCCACTAGCCTCATATAAACATTCCGGGGAGGTGCGCACTGACCTGGCGTCGCCTCCCCGGGCGGACCTATTCTAAATGACACCCAAAGGAGCCCAATTCATCATGTTTCACCGGTTCAACACACCAAGATTATTACTGTCCGCCGTTGCGCTGCTGGCCCTGTTGTTGGTCGTCGGCTGTCGTTCCGCAGCTACCGACGAGCCGGCGTCGACCGTCGCACCACCGGACGCCGGCGCGGCGACGGAGCCGACTGCGGCCGTCACCGAACCATCCGGCGGCCAGTCGACCGCAGCAACTCCTCAACCCACTGCTGCTATCACCGGACCGGTGGAAGCCAAGGTGAACCGCCTGGTGATTGCATTCACCCAACCGACTCACGAGACCAACGTTCCTTGGTTCGGTGCCCGCACGATGTTGTCTCAGTTCAGCCCTATGACCGAGACCCTCGTCGACCTGGCTCCGGCGACCGGGGAATACACGGCCAATCTGTCCACCAGTTGGGAAATGAGCCCCGATGGCAAGAACTGGACCCTGAATCTGCGGGAAGGTGTGCCTTTCCATTTCGGGTTTGGTGAGTTCACCGCCAAGGACGTAGTGCACAGTCGGGCGTTGATGGGGCAGGACGACGGTGTAAACACCTTGAACAGTGTGTGGCGCGAGACCGTTGATACCGTGGAAGTGGTGGACGATCATCAGGTCGTGTTCCGCCTCACAGCATCAGAGCCAGACCTGGACTTTGCCCTCTCAATAGGGGGCGACCTGATGATGATGAGCAAGGACCACTGGGACCAGGAGGGCCAGGAGGGCCTGGAGCAGCGGGTAGTGGGCACCGGTGCGTACCAGTATCTTGATCGGGAGGTGGGCCAATCCATCCTGTTCGAGCGGGCGACCGATGAACACTGGCGAGTCGGACGCGGCGACTTCAATGAGATTCAGCAGGTTTTCGCTCCCGAGGCGGCCACGCGCCTGGCCATGCTGCTGGCTGAGGAGGCCCACGTGGCGGCGCTGCCCCGCGATGGTCTGGCCCAGGCCGCAGATAACGGTATGAAGATCATCAACAGCGGAATTGGCGGCCTCCACACCATGTTTCTCTTCGGGGGTCTATTCTTCATCACTGGCGACGAGGCCTATGACCCCTCGATTCCGTGGGCGGCCCCCGGTGAAAAAGGCCGTCTGGTTCGACAGGCTCTAAACAAGGCGATCAACCGGGATGAGATCAACGAGTTCATTTTCAGGGGAGGGGGCGCCCCTTACCGCGTTGTTGACTACCACCCCACCATGCCCGGCTGGAACCCGGATTGGGACGAGCGCTGGGAGGAGGAATATGGTTTTGATCCAGACAAATCCAGGGAGTTACTAACCCAGGCCGGCTACCCCGACGGTTTCAAGATGAAGATATATGGCGCTCACACACTGCCAGGAGTGCCAGAAATGCCGGATATGGCGGAGGCCCTGAGCATCTATTTCGACCAGATTGGCATAGATGTCGAAATAGTGAGCGTTGAGTTCAGCGTGGTGCGCAACCAATTCCGCAACAAGCTGGATAACGAGTTCTTGTATCCCCTGAGAAGCTCCCGGCGGCCATTGCAACAGCAAATCCGGGTCCACAATCTCCCCGCTCCACTTGGGGTAGGCCATTTCTACGAAAGCGATTTCATTGTGGAAAAGTACGATGAGTTAACCCAGACCCTGGACCTGGTGGAACGAGACCGCATCTTCCGGGAAATTGGAGACCACAAATTCGACAACTTTGCATCCATGCCTCTCCATTGGCTCTACATCCAAATGGCGGTGAACCCGGAAATAGTGGCTGAGTACAACTTCCCGGGAACGGCTGGTTGGAATTTCAGTCACATGGAGACCATTAAAGCCGTGCCCCAATAGATCTTCGCCCGTTTTCGGCTCCGGGTTGCACGGGCAACCCAAGGACAAAACGACTCCTGAGGTTCAGGGGTCGTTTTGTCATTATTGATTCGTGCTGTTGGTGATTCCCCCTGGATGTTGGTTTACCGAAACGATTGATCGCGTCGGCCGCTGATCGATGTTGGAACGCCAGGAGGTCGAGGACCACACTTGGCCAGAAAAAACGACATCGAGAAACGGGGTCGGCCAACCATCCTGACCCGCACAATTCGCTAACCACCCCTGGCGTTCAAGGACCTGCCAATGCCCCGCGCCTGCTGCAACGTCGGATTGAATTCAGCCATCCCTGAGCGAACACCTGAATATCTCCAGGGTGCATGTACGTTTGTGTTCGCCATCGATTTTGGGTACATTATGTGCGCCCGCGCCACCGTCTCCGCGGTTAGCGTGCGGGAAAAGTTAATCGTGTTGAACACTTAATAAAACGCAAGCCCGAGGAGGAACCCGAATGGCGGACACGCCTCTGTTCCCAGTAACCGTGGTCGGGAGTTGGCCCCGCTCCACTGAATTGGTGCGCGCCCTGCGCAGCAAGGAAGCCGGCGACATCACTTTGGCGGAGTTTAATCAGGTAGCTGACGGTGAAGTCCTGGCTTGCATCCGTGCTCAGGAAGAAGCCGGAGTGGACATCCTCAGCGACGGGGAACAACGCCGCGATAATTTCTACTCGTTTGCGGTGGACAAACTCACCGGTATGCGACTGATGAAGGTTTCGGAACTGTTGGACTACTCCAGGGATCGCGCCCGCATGGAAGAGGTTCTTAGAGCCCTGGACGTGCCATCCTTCGCCATCAAAAGCCCCATCGTTGTCGATCGCATCGGCAAGCGGGAGGGGCTAGCCCAGGATGAATTGGCCTTCATGCGCGAGCACACCGACCGGGCGATCAAAATTCCTCTGCCTGGCCCCTACATGCTGACCCGATCCAGCTGGTTTGAGGGGTTGTCTGACCGGGTGTACCCAAATCCTGAAGACCTGGCCGAAGACGTAGTTGCCATCCTCCGGGAAGAAATCATCGCCCTCCGCGACCAGGGGTGTGACTTTGTCCAGTTGGACGAACCCATCCTGAGTCAGGTGGTATTCGGTGAGGAGAGCACCGAGACATTCATGTGCGCTGCCTTGCCCAACCGTCGCGACCCCACCGATGAGCTGGAATTCGCGGTGCGCTTGATGAACGAGACAACCGAGGGCATTACCGGTATCAAAACTGGTGTTCACATCTGTCGGGGCAACTGGAGTCGCCGCGAAGATGTGCTGTTAACCGGCAACTATGGACCGATGCTTCCCTACCTCACACAGATGAACATCGATCAGCTTGTCCTGGAGTGCGCCACTCCACGCGCCGGTGAGATGGAAGTCTTCAAGGAATACAGCAATGAAAAAGAAATAGGTTTCGGGGTGGTCAATCCGCGCACCGACGACATCGAACCACCGGAACAGATCGTTGCCCGCGTCAAGGAATTGCTGCAATACTTTGATCCCGAAAAGATTTTCCTGAACCCCGACTGCGGTTTCGGCACGTTTGCTGAACGGAACGTCAATACCCACGAAATGGCCGCCAGGAAAATGAAAACGATCGCCCAGGCAGCCGAGCTGCTCAGGGCCGAATATCAGTAAGGCAAAAAACGCGCGATCCTCACCAAGCACCTACGAATCGAATGGAGGAGCTGAACATGACACAAGAAGGAATCCTCAACGGGTTACCCCGAGAAAAACTCGCCGAAGTGCTCGACTCCTTCCGCGACCCCGAAGTGTTTAATGCCGTAACCGGCCCCTGGAAATCGCGGGTGGTCTGGCAGGACGGGATGCGTGCTCGCGCCTATATGCGAAACCACCAGGTGGACATGGACGAACCCGGCGATCTCACCGCTACCGACGTGGCCGCCAGCGCCCACGAACAACTGCTGTCTGCCATCGGTAGCTGCATGACCGTTGGCTTTGTGGTCAACGCCACCAAACAGGGCGTTCGCATTCACGACCTCGAAGTGGCGGTAGAAGGGTATTTCGACAACATTCGCAAGTGGGCTGGCGTCGAAGACGAAGGAAACCCGGGTTACGGTAAAATCTCGGCAAAGTGCTTCGTGCGCGCCGATGCCGATGAGGAAACCTTGCGCGAAATTTGGCGCCTGGCAGTGGAAGGTTCTCCCGTCACTCAATCGGTGGCCAACTCAACGGCGGTCGAGACCGACTTTGAAGCGATCGGTTAATGGCCGCTTTCGTCTCTCCTGACTGGGTCGCCGATCACATCGGTCGACCGGGGTACCTGATCATCGATCCCCGGTCGGCAATGCGCTATCTGATGGGTCATCTTAGAGGAGCCGTCAGCGTTCCGTTCAAAAAACTGCAGACGCCGGACGGACGCCTCGGAACGCCGGACCAACTTGCCACCGTGTTCGGTCACGTGGGTCTGGGCGACGATGTTATACCGGTACTATACGACCACCAGGATGGCCGCAACGCCGCCATGGCAGCCTGGGTGCTGGAGTATCTGGGCCGGGAGGACGTCCACATCATGGACATGCTCTACGACGCCTGGAAGGACTCGGGCCGCGACGTGCTTTATCGGCCAGTGCCCACCGAACCCAAACCTTTCACATCGCGCCTCAACCCAGCCGCGCGCGCCACGTTGGACGATCTGGCCAACGCCGGCGGCGCAATACTTCTGGATGCCCGGTCTCCCGAGGAATTTCGTGGCGAAGTGGAAATGGACCATCGCCCGGGCCACATCCCCGGCGCGATCAACCTCTCACACTCCGAGATGGTCGGGGACGGAGGCAAACTACTCATCGACCCGTCGGCGCTGCACCAGAGGTTGGCCGCCCTGGGCATAACGACTCAAGATACAGTGGTGGCCTACTGCCGCAGCGGGGTCCGAGCCTCACTCACCTATCTTGCCATGAAGCAGGCCGGTTATAACGTCCGCCTCTACGACGGGTCGTACGCCGAATGGATGGACAGCGATCACCCCGTAGCCCTCTGAAATCCTTTCCGACTGGTTAGCCAGTACGGACAGGCGGCGGTGTCGGAGAATCCGCTTCCCATCTCGGTGAGTCTGGACCTGGTGCCAACAACCGGTTTAAACCAGGCCACCGCATTGTTGATACACAGTTCCGTCAGTTGCCGCAAATGTCACTGACATCCGGCGGCGCTGGACCGATTGCTATCCGCAGCGCAGCCGACCGACGCCGCAAATACACCCCAAGAGCCTACCGAGTGATGGCTATCGTGGGATATAAGGGCCCGCAGCCCCTGCGTTCTTTTTGTCAGACCCACGGCTATCCGGAGAGTGACCTATCCCGCTGTAGGCGCTTGCAGCATCGGCCACAACTGATGGGCAGCCTCGCCCATGATCCAATTGCGGTCGTCGTCGGAAAGCCAGGGCAGGGCCGTTTGGCCGAGCTGTACCTGCCCGATGTACCCACCTTCACGCGACGAAGGGAAGTTGGAGCCCCACATCACGCGCCGCGGTGTGAACGCCTCAATCACACGCCTGAAGAGGTCCTGCTCGGGCGCGGTCAGGTCGGCGTAAGGGCCGAGACTGGTGCTGGAAATTCGCAGGTAGACGTTGGGCAGCTGGGCCAGGGTTTCCAGGGCGGTAGTCATACCGGCCTTGTCTCCGGCGCCGCTCCAGCCAGCGAAATGGTCTGGGGCGAAGAGCACGTTGGGGTGCCGGGCGCCCATGTTCCGCATCGCCTCGACCTTGTCCGGTTGGCCGCCGCCGCCGATGGAGATCGGAACGCCGAGAGCCTCGGCTCGCTGCCAGAGAGCATCGCAGCGAGGATCGTCGGGCTCGGCCTGACTCTGGAGTCGCACGCCCGTCATGCCGCGCTCGTTCACCCAATACGACAGCAAGTCCGCGGCATCGGGCGCAGCCGGGTCCAGTATCCCCACCGCAACGGTGCGTGGAGTAAACCGCAGGGCACTGTCGCACTGGTAGGCGTTGTCAAGACCGTAGGTGCCGTTGGGCTGAACCAGGGTTGCGCACTCCACACCGGCCTGGTCCATCTCGGCGATCAAGTCCTCAACGTCGTTGCTGACCTCGGTGGACCATCCTCGCGCGCCGGGGTCTAGCGGGTGCTTGGCCTTGTCGCTGCTGACCACATGCGTATGGGTGTCGATGATCATGGGCAAAACTCCTGGAGGGACTGCATCGAACGGAATGCCGAAGTTTAGCACACCGCTCAGGGCGATGAAACCAGCAACGGGTCTGGCCCAGGTTCATTCGATTACCCGTTCATCCTGAGTCCGTCAAAGGACCGCCATGAGCCCGTCGAAAGATCACCAATATTCTGCCCGCCAGATTGCATCCGGCCATCCAAAAGCCTCCCGTTGATCCGTGGCCGCCTGCCGTCGGTGCATGACCCGTTGTTGCGCCGCCGTCACCTGAGTAGTAGCCGCCACCCGATGGCTAGTCATCTCCCCCGGTACAATAAATCTTCAGATATGATGGGGCCTCAGGGATGTCCGATCCAAGCCTGATACACAGCGTAGATAGCAACTCCAGCGCCACCGACCCACCATCCACTGTAATAACGCCGAGGTCTGCCCTGCCAGACAGGTTCATAGGGCCGACGCATCCGGACCGAACGCGAGCCGCAATTTATCATATCTCTGCTACCACAGAATTAGTCACGCCACGCAGCAACAGCACCGAAGCAGGGTTGACCACGCACCGGAACCTTGACTCGTAAACAAACGGGTAATGCGAGGAGGCTCTGTTAGAGTACAGGCGAACCCGGGACCCGGCCACAAGCCGAATCGTCCCCTCCACTTAGATACGAAAGGTCAGGTAAGAGTCCGATTCATGCGCGTTTATTACGGGTGGTGGGTTGCCGCCGCAGCTGCTGGCATCCAGTTGGCCAACGCTGCCACCGCTATCGGCATCCTCACTGTGTTTGTAATCCCCATGAGCCAGGAATTCGGTTGGAACCGTACCGAAGTTGCCGGCGCTACCAGTTTGGGCGCCGTGTTAGGCGCTGCTCTTGCTCCTTTCAGCGGCAATCTGATCGACCGCATGGGAGCCCGGATAATACTCGTCGTTGGGGGATTCGTGGTAGTGCTGGGCTGCCTCTACCTGTCCACGGCGCATACCCTCTTGGGTTTCTACGTTGCTTTCACCATGATCAGAATCGCCGACCAGGGGCTGATTCAGATCGGCGCTTCGGTAACTGCCAGCAAATGGTTCTTGAGGTATCGTGGCCGGGCAACCGGATTGGTATCCTTCGGTGGATTCGTAGGCATAGTCGTAGTCGCCCCTCTGGTGCAGTTGGTCATTGGCAATTGGGGTTGGAGGCCAGCCTGGGTCGCGCTTGCCGCCTTGATGTTGGGTGTAGGCGTAATCCCGTCCGCACTGATAATTCGGCGGCAACCGGAGGACCTGGGTCTGGTTATTGATGGCGCTACCGTCCAGACGCGGTCCGACGGTGAACCCGGTTTGGGAATGGACGAGCAATCATTGCCTTTACGTACGGTAATCAAGACCCCAGCCTTCTGGTTGATCCTGCTTTCGTTGTTTCTGGTCAGTACATCAACATCGGGCATCGGGCTTCACCTGATCCCCCACCTCACCCAACAGGGTCTATCCGCCGGGGCGGCGGTGGGAGCGGTCAGCGTCATGTCTGTGTCCGGAGCTTTCGCGGCGTTGGCATTCGGTTTCGTCGCGGAGAGAGTGTCCGCCAAACTCTTGCTGGCGATGGTATATCTGCTCGGCGCGGTCAGCATGTGGGTGCTCATGGGAGCCCACACCTTGCCGGAAGCGTACATGTTCGCCGTTTTACAAGGGTCAGTCGGTAGCGGAGTGAATACCCTGGCCCCATTGATGTGGGCCCGCTACTACGGACGAAGGACACTGGGCAGTATCTTCGGGTTGAGCCGGGCGGCTCAGGTTGTTGGCTTCGCGGTTGGCCCGCTGGGATCTGCGGTCGCCTTCGACAGGACGGGAACATACCAGGGAGCCTTCCTGACCCTGGCATTGGTGTCGGTCGCTGCCGCATTGCTCCTCGTAACCACCCGGCGACCAACGCTCCTCAACCGGTCTTGACGAATCTCGTCGTGGGTGGGAATTCGCGGCCATCACGCGCGACAGCAATCGGCTCCGGCCGGCGAACCCGGTGGCCGCCACCTGACGGGGAGCGGTGACCGTCGTCCCTGTAAATCCGTCCAGGGAATGGCTGCGTCACACAGCCAGCGGTCTCAACTGGGGAAGCTGAAGCAGCGATCTAACCTGCTCAGTGTCCGGCGCATCCGTTACGGCCCGAATTAACAGCTTCCCGGCTTCGAACGCAGCCACTGGTATGCCGTTGCGGAATACGATGCGATTTCCCGGTACGGCGGGCACTCTGTCGCCAGCGGTCAGGATGCCTGTCAGATTCAGGGGATCACAGGCCGAGATTGCCACCATGCTCCCGGTGGGTTCGCTGCGTTTGACTTCCCTCAACAAGTCCACGGCTTCGGGAAGGCCGAATTGTTCACCCACGAAACCGGTTACAAAGCGCCCTCCCCGTATCTCGCCTCGAGCTTCCATGCGACGCAACACGCGAACTGCGTCCCGCCAGCTGGGGCCTGTAGACTCCCGCGCCAATATCTCCGGGAACACCACACCGTACCGGCGCAGCAGTTGCGTCACCCGCATTTCGACGGCGTCAGTCGCCGGGTCCAGCGACTCCAGAATCGACCAGCGGCTGTGGGCTTCCCGCCGGCGCGGGTCGAGCCGTCGCTCGGGGGTGTGCCGGCGACGGGATGATCGGTTGCCATCAGGCGCTCCGTTACGATTCTTGCCAGATCGACCGTTGACCCGCGGCGCCGCAAGGGTTGCAGGCTATCGCAGGTTACCCGGCCCTGAGCCGCCAGCAGCCATAGCGCTTCTTCGACATCAGACGGCAACCGCCGGGTGATAGAGATAATATCGGACGTGAAGCAGGCTCCACGCTGGGACAGTACCGACAGCACCTCGGCGGCAGCTCCACTCCCGGCATCGCCTTCCGGCTGTACCGGCCCCAGCAGCCAGTCCAGGCATTCCCGCAGTCCCAAAGTAACGGGTGTGGCGCGAGTTAGCGGCGACCTGGCGCTGGAACCGTTGGCGGTGGCGATCTGCCGGCTCATGCACCCCCACACCACCTCACCACCCATGGACAAACGATCCAGCAGATCGGGCTTATAATCCTGCATCCGGGGAGCTATAACCTCGGACTCCAGGACGCCGGCAGCG